ATCCCTAAACCCTAAACCATAATTAAGGTTTGCATGAGGATTCCGAAAGCTGCGCCTCTCCAGTCGAGCTACGGCTGCCCTTGATCGCACAACTTGTCTCGCCAAGGTCTTGACCTGCATCATACAATTAGGGTTTAGGGGTTGGGGGGGGTTGGTTTAGGGAGAAAAGTAGTAAGAGTAAGACACTAGTAATAACAGTAGAAATAGCAGAACTAATTATAAGAATAGAGCTTTTTAGAGATTCCAACCTTTTTTTGCTAGTTTACGGTTTAGCGTTTGCGCTGAGAAGCACGGCTGCCGATTTGGAATCGAAGGGGAGGCTAAAGTTGCTATGCTCGGATTCAAATCTACAGACCTGTGGATCTTAGCGGATAATAATGGCAACAATGATGGTATCAATAATTGTGTTAAACTATAAATATTAGAAATTCATGCCTAGAATTGGACTAAAAGGTTTGATCAGATGCTCACTGCCATGACTGTACTCTGCTCAGAGATTTCGGACATTCACCAGATCTGCCGTATCTCTTTCTAGTCCTAGTCCTATCTAACCCCAGTTTCCATGCAATTTTCCACTTGGTTTTTCATAGGATCTCCACAAACCCTAAGCCCTAGACTGTTACGTGTAGTTTGCTTTGTGTTTTCCATTGTCTTTTCACGTTGATTCTGCCTTGTTGGGGTAACTACAGTAGGCTTCATTTCGTTTTCCATCCGCTTTCTAAGATATGCTGCCCCAACTTGTAAGATAATGACACTCAGGGGGGTTTCCTAAGTTCGGGGGTTTTAGAGGACTACATATATATATATATACATATTTGTATATGGGAATTACAAAGGGATGATGGGAATTTCTATTAAGGATTCTGAAGAGCTGATTTCGAAAACTCTTCAGAAAAACGCGAGAACGCAATTCTTTGCGTGTCTCGCAGTCCACCCTCTACTTTGCTTGCCCTAAACCCTAAACCCTGAACATCTTGGTGAACGCAGAGCGGCTTAACTCTGTTGTACTCTTCCCGAAACTTCGCATGGTACGCTACATGGAGCCTTCTATAACTCGCCTGAGACCCATCAAGAAACCATACCTCTAGCTTGACAGATTAGCGTACTGATTGTTATTATTAGTACTACTATTCTTCTTACTATATAGGCGATAAGTAATAGGGTTCAGGGGTTAAGAATAATTTTCCAACACGCCTTGCGAAGATGTTCTATGGAATTCTACAATGTATGTCCATAGACCAACAGCTGGCTTTCTTGAACTCTGAGCTGCCAGCGCTTGCTGCTTGACCTTTCTCTGCCATTGTTTTGATCTCTTTCTTCAGCTTTTCTTCCTCCTGGCCTTGGCGTTTCTGAGAACATGACAGGCCACAAGCCGTGAAACGATGCGTACCTGTGGGCAGGACGCATTCTGGATATGTCTCGGTCTATGCGTCGCGACTCACCACGGATTTGTCTTTGCCACTCTCTCGCCTGAAACAGCCGTCTCAAGTTTTGCAAGGCTTAGCACACAAATGAGTCAGTATTGTGGCGCCTTCTCCTTGACTGTTTCCTCTTTGGATTTCCCATTTCCCATGCTTGCCTTGGCAAACGGTGACTTCATCTCCCTTCGCCCAGCCCACACACTTTGTGGCAAAGGCTCCGGCAGGAGTCTTGCAGTGACTGCAGCACTGCTCACAGAACGCAAGAGTACTGCTACAAGTCCTAGATCGGTTTTGTTGATAGGACTGTCTGCATGCGGCTTGGTCGTTCAGACTTGCGAGCGCGCTTGTCAGGTTTCACAGGCTTGGATTTTTGTTGCATGTTGAGGATCTGCTGACATGCCGTGTTGGCGCATGCTTGACCACGTCTGCAAAGTCACGCAGGAACTCCCAAGGGATCGGAATGCCGCACCATGCTATTATTACGACATGCGCCTGCTGCCAAACCTTGCAAGACCTCTCGACGAGCATTTCACCTCCAATGCTGCCGCAGCGCTTCCCTCTCTGCCATCTTTGCCTCATTGACTGGGTTGAAAAGCCAAATAGCGAAAACAGAAGGTCTAGGTAACGTAAAAGCAGTGGCCTCTGAGACCTTGTTTTGCCACCAGGTTCTCCTCACAGGCTTCCATTCACTGCAGCGTCAGCAGATGAGGCATTGGCCTTGAGACTGCCCTCTGCAGCCCACATTCATGAGTTTGGGGTTTAGGGTTTAGTGTAGTCTTACAAACTCGAGGAACCAAGACCCTTCTGGGATACTCAATGTGGCTTGGAACTACTTTGAGACCTTCTTGGAAAATCCTGCCAAACCGTGGAGCGCGGACCTCCAGTTCAACAAGTTGTGACATGTTTCTGGTCTCAGCCCACTGGCCAATCCGCAACATGTACACCCTAAATCCTGAAACCCTAAAAACCCCATCATAGCAGTTGCCATTTTCGTTTCCATTATCCCTACAGAACCCCTATAACCCCGCTTAAGGCCCCCCCTGTCTACGGCCAGCCTCCCAGGCAAGTCGCGACGATCTCCCTCCATAAATGCAGCAGGCGGCCTGCGCTTGTCTTCGTCTGCGACTGTGACGGATTCAAGCCAATCAATGTAGTCAGCATGCAAGTGAGTCAAATGAAGCCCGGACACATGAGCATCTTGAACCCTACCCTGGGTTAACACGACACGGCTCAGGTGCAGAGCAGCAACTGCCGCAAGAACTGCAAGAAAGATCCGCAAAACCAAGCTTGGGCTTCCTGCCTCGGCTTACGCTAACCGTTTTGACTGGTTCTGGGTTTGAAGCACATGATGGGAAGCAGACTTAGCCGCTTTCATGGGTGACACTGTGAAAACTACATGTTGCTGAGAGCCTCTTACCTAGGTGCTCATTGATGCAAGTCCGTGGATTCAAAGGCTGAAAAGCTTCCGATCAGAACTCCGCGCTGGAGGCTCTAATCAAAGCGCCACCGACTTGGTTGTAGGCTGCCACCCATCCTTGACGCGAGCCAGATTCGGTCCATTCAGAATCCAACATGTCGATAAAGGTCCGCCGCACAATGACATCCGCGCTTGTTGATGCAAAGCACAGCTTCTTGGGTCGCGGTTCAATATGTTGGAAACGAGCTTCCGCGGCCTCTCCCACTCTTGGGGCACTTACTCCTCCATTCATACGTCTGTAAGCGCGCTGTTGCTTGTGGAAAGCCGCCAGCACATCTTGCTTGCAAGCCTCCCACTCAGAAGTGGACACCGCGACCTGATATGGCACCAACTTCCTACCACTCAATTCAGTATGTACATTGAGATGTATGCCGCTTCGACGCAAGAATTCTTGGAGGTATGCACGGAAAGTGAAATTCTGATCTGTCCATCTGGTCCAATACGAATCAACACCATCCTCACCTGTGATGAGCACACAGGCACTGCCGTCAACTTCACTGATAGCCTGCACTTCTGCATCATCCAGCACAGGCAACAGTGGCACGCCTCTGTTGCAGCCTCTCAGGTGTAAGATAGTGTAGTATGACTTGTCTAAAGCACAAAGCCTTGGCAGATCCTGCACCTGCACATATGTTTCAAAGCGTCCTTTTTCCAGTCTGGCAAGGCTGGAAAAGTGTCGCGTGGCCCACACGGGGTATGCAGAGAAGGGCAGAAACATGACGTGCGAAACGATCACCTTACCAGGCTGGGAATGTGGCTGAACCTGGGTTGCTGTTAAGGAACTTAAATTAAGTTACCATAATGGGTATATATAGAAAATAATAGGGTTCCCCTAATATAGTAACTTAATTTAAGTTCCTTAACAGCAACCCAGGAACTGTTAAAGTATATGCCTTGACTGGACCAACCTGAAACACGACAGTGTGGCGTCGCCCAAGAGGCAAGACCAACATGGCCGCCATGCCAGGCTCTGGGACGTCTCTTCGCACAATCATCCTGGCGAAGTAGGCGTCCCATTCCGACTCCTTTGGAGTGTCAGGCCCTTCTTCTCCTTCCTCATGAAGCTGTGATGGGCTTTCTAGAATTTGACGCATTGAATAGAGACGGAGAGAGTCTGCCTCATGCTCCTTTCCGCTGACTCGCACTATGGCATCACCAGGGCTCACTTGCTCCTGCCACTCGACAGCCAGCAGCCCTGTCACCTGGGTGATGGACTGCATGGAAACTTCCGGTCGAATCAGCAGGGAGGAGGCAGGTAGCCCAGTGTCCACGACAAATTGTAGTCGTGTCATGCAAGAACCACAGCCCGAAAATCTGTAGCAGATGCGGCCGTCATGCTCCAGTGTGCTGTCCTCAAATCGATCCTGAACATTTATCCAGCCGTCATCTTCAGTGGCCTCAGTAATATGAATAAAGAAGTCCTCAATGTCAATGCTGGGAGTCAACTCATCAAGCGCCATTATGCGGCGGCCTGCCTAGACTTCCTCGCCCAGAGCTTGAGCAAGCATCAGGACGTGGGCTTCTGGTTTGACAACTGCAGGCTCTATGAACACCTAACATACCGAGCTGGTGCCTGCCACAGTTTCAAGCTTGTTCTGAGGGGAGCAAAGTCCTCCTGCACGATGCCGTGCCACCTGCGGCATGTTCACATGTTGGTTCGCCGTACTCATGGGAAAGCTTGCTTCTTTCAACTCTAACGCTAAGGGGCATCACGGATGGTATCCTAAGATGCTGCGCATTGAGGCCATAATTTGTCTTCTTAGGTCTGCCAAATCCCTCTCTGTACCTTCAGGTGAAGTTTGTTTCCTATGTTGTCTACGCAGAAAGTGTCCAAATCCTTTGTGCCAAATTGTTCCATGGTCACAAAATTGATATTGACATGAAAGCTCCATGTCACTTCCCAAGACCATACCTCCAGTCCCAAATCGCACATGCTTTCGGTTTGCCACGCTTTGTGTCAAAGGGTGCCCGGCTGCGCCAGTCTTTTCTACGCTTACCATGATGCTCTGCTACATGGGGGGCATCGTCTGACTGCCTTCCGCAGGTTCCTGTGCTCCCAAACTTTCAGGGTATGAAGCTACCAAAGGGAGGGAGGAAGAGAAGACTCTCCTGCATGGCTGCCTCAGTGCATGCACTTGAGCCTGGGCCTACGTCTAAGTCTGGCCGAAAGCTAGCAAACCTTTGTGCCTGTCACATGAATATGCTAAACTGGCATACATCAACAGACACTAACAAGCTGGCACTGCCTTCAAAGCAAGCCACTTACAGCCTCCTTGACAACTTGACGCCACTCCGCGTCCAAGAACGACATGAGTTCACGGTTCGTCCTCGCAGGCTGCTCGGCTTGCATCTGTCAAGGAGCGAGGCTGCAAGACCCTGGTCACATGGTAGTTTCCCTAAATTACTGTTCCCAAAATGGGGGAAATTTATACAGGGCCCCGTAATATAATGGGAACCCAAATATAGGACCCCGTATTATAGGGAATTTAGACCAATACCCAAATCATTGCAAACATTTCTCAACTGGACTCGGAACACAGACATCTGTGCTGCATTTAGAGAGCAGCATTGCTGCAACATGCTGCAACCAACTCTGCCACCGAGACGGGGCGAAAGGCTTGCGGCAAATGTGGTGACTATGGTGACTATGTAAGCTTGACGAATCATCCCCTACATGTCTACTGCCAGAGCACACATGAATCAGAGCAACCAGTTGGCATGGAATCCAAAAGTCTCAATTGTCGAGTGGACCATACGCTGCAGCAACGGTAAAAGATCGGTTTCGGAAAATGCTAGAGACTGCCGGTCACTTGGCTGCTGACAGATTTCGTGAAAAACAAATGGCTGGGACAAAGGGGCTGCCAACCGGGCAAAAGACAGAAGGCGACAGCATCCTCAGTAGTTGTTTGTCACCAGGCATTTAAGACCTCTCCGCGCGTGCCATAGGTCTGTCTTGAGGGTTTCGTGATGAGTTTAGGAAGTGCGTCAAGCAAGGGTTTTCATGAAACTGGTACGGTGGTCGATTAACATTGCTTCTGTATTGCTCATGCAGCACGGTTTTTGCATCCGCTGTTATATCAGATCTTAGAATGCTTGTATGAGGGTTGTGTTGCACGTCGTACTGCAGAACTTGATGAACGCCAGCTTGAATCCTAGAGTTGCTCTTGCCCTCAGCGACATGGCCCGTGTCTGGCATCAGCCCTTTTACCTGACATTGCCGACCTTTAGCATGGGATCTTGGGCCATCAGTCCTGCATTCTGGTACAGAGCATTTTCAGACAAGCCTGGTGTTTTCACAAACGTTCTTGAGAATCAGCAGGTACCGAAAGCCACTTGAGAAAGTACTTGAGAAACGCTAATTACCCCCAGGGGTTTCTTCGATGGCTAACGTCAGTGGCGGACCTGATGACACTGCAGGAAATTTGAAGTAAGCGGACTCCCGTCATGGGATGCCTAGATTTCGGGCAGAAAGTTCCCTTCCACTGGTGATAATGCGGCCTCATGTGCAGAGGATGGGGGAGATTGGAGGGTGGTTGACAGGTTCGACTCCAGCAACGAACAGCAGGAAGCGCTCGTGCTGCTAGGCCTAGGCCTAAACTCACTGATGAGAAGCTGCTCAAAAGCTCAAGGCGGCCAACAGCATCAACTGCAATCACCCATGAAATCCAACGATGTCTATATGAGCTATAGTCTAAACTCCAGTATCCCCTGTAAAAGTCCCTACAATACTCCCCTATTACCCTACATAGAATCCCTACATACCCCCCGCTAGCTCATGTTGGGGCCCTCCGTTTATGGAAACCAGCACGTGAAACTAGGCATGAGAGGCCCGGAGGTCTGTGTTCAGGCATTTTGGGTCTCAATATCAAGGGGATCCCTTTTTGGCAAAAAAATCCGGCAGAGAAGTTGCATTTTGCAGTTGACCAGCCTGTGTTGTTTTTTTCGTTTCGTTTTTTGGCTGGCAAGAACTTTGTACCTTGGGGCTCTGCCAGCATGCAATGCACCTCGAGAATGCTTCGCAGGGTCGAGACGAAACAATCAAGCGTCTTGCAAGCATATTGCACAGCAGTTGAAAAGCTCAGGGATGGTCCTGTAACTGCTATAAGTATGAGCTTGAGCATGCAGGGATGCAAAACCCTGGGCACTTTGTCCGACATGAGCAAAACAGGGGGTTTTCGATGAAATGCTGGGTTTTATCAACAGAGTGAAACGCAGCTGGACAAGACAGTTCCTCGTTACCTGTCCTCTCCATGGCTATGATGTGCCCGCACAGGCTTGTCCTAGGTACACAGCCCAAGCGGTGGCTCTAGTGTCCATTCGTCAGAAGACTGAGTTCCATGCATGCTCATGACTAGCCGGCAGTTGCTGTGGGTCCATCAGGGTCTCTGTTACTGGACCTGCGCCGCTTGGGCAATTCCAACATCCCATTTTGAACCCATACCGGCAGACAGTCAGGATGCTGCTGCCTGGAAGATGCGTACTTGCAGTTTCTTGGCCTTGTTGCATGGGCACAATCTGAAATCTCGACATGAAGAGCCTCAATCATTGCAATCATGTGCCTTGGTTGACAAAACGTCGCACCGGCTTGTCATTGAAGAAGCAGTTGACGCCTCTATCAAAGCATTGCTGCCGAACCACCACGAATGGCTGCCTTGAAAATTGCTGACCACGCTTCCGAGAGCCTGGCCAAACTTTGTGCAAGATGTTGGAGGCAACCCTTGGTGCACCTGCGAGGCGGGATGAGGCTGGTTTGCAGGCTTCAAGATGGTCATGGCATGTTCACAAACTTCTGCCCAGCTTGTTCTCTGAAGCCACCAAGGGTTCTTCAGCTTCAGTACTAAACTGGTGTAGTACCAGGCAGTCGAGCGCAATCAATCAGCCCACTGAATTCTAGCTGCGCACGGCCAAAGGGCAAGTAGCGCCAAGGAGCAATTGCCTTGCAGCTGCATTCTCTACACCTTTGGCTGGCGGAACAGCCAAACACTGCAGAAGCCTTGCCACGCTCACCTTTGCATGTTGCGAGGTAGCAGTGACTATGATTTTCTAAGTCCAGTTGTTGGACGAAACTAATTGAAACGTTCAACGGCAAGTCGTAACCCCCCTGGAATTCCTGATTTCCCCAAGGGTGGCTCCACACAAGCCGTGGCTGCCTTCACGGCTGCCACAAGAAACTTGATGAGCATTCATGCCAGTACCATGAAACGGGTTTATGTTGCTGGCCTTGTCATCAAACATGTAGACATTTGATTTGGAAACACCCAGCTCTGATGCTAGCCTCGATGCATGGTGGGCCTTGCAATGGCCATGGCAGCCAACCACTGATTCAGAAACTGGGAGGTTAGGACGACGGTGGGGATGAGCTGTGATTGCCCTCACATGGCAGGAGCCGCAGAAAGTCTGCCATAGGCTCTGGCCCAGCTGGGACAATGTCAACGATCCCCCACCGTAGGCATCATCATAGGTACCCCAAATCACTCTGTTCCCCGGACATCTGTGCGTGTCCCCCTGTCTTCCTGTCAAAGTCCTGTCCACATCAAAGATGCAGAGACAGGATCCCCCTTTGACAGTTTCGTTGGTGCTGTTCCGTACCCTTTCAGCGGAGTTCCCAAGGATCCCTCTTAAAGAAGACCTGAAGGCGTCGAAGTTGTTCCTGACGTACTCCGTGAAATTTGCAACTTTCTGCACCGTCTGCGTCCAGCTTGCATTGCCTTACTTGGGCGCTCCCAGCAAACTTAAGGATGTTCGATCTCACGGCTTGCTGTCCCCAAACACTAACATGGAGACCCCCTTTCAAGCAGGACTGCGGTCTTGGTCCGCCCCATTTTAGGGTTTCATATGAGCTCTAGTCTAAACTCCTAGCATCCCCCTTAATAAACCCTATACTATTGCCCCATATAATCCCTTATATAACCCCTTTTAAGGAGTTTAGACTATAGCTCATATGGTGTCATGGTAGCTTGGGAGAATCCGATGTGCAGCCAGGCTGGCCTCTCCGCAGCTGCGTCTCGTGCGGAGATCCAGAGCGGGGCTGTGAGCTGTTCACTCTTACCTTGCAACACAGAACCCCACTGAAGACTTACATTGCTCCGTCCATTGCCAGGTGATGTACTGATCCTGGAATCCCCGAAAAAGCATGAGCATGAGTTTGCTGGGGAACTCATGAGCTAGAGTCAAGATTTCCCACACAATTTAATGGACATAAGTTCCTTATTAGGGACTATATTACGGACTATACTGAACTATAAAAGGGACCCCTATGTCCACTGTTAAGGTTCTCTTAATAAGGCTGATATTGACAGTACTTCACATGGGTCAGAAAGGTTTTGGAAGCAGCTGCGTGTGAACTTTTGTACCTCTTGGGCTGGCCTCAGTTTGCTCATGTCCGTAGAGGTGCGTCAATGGGAGATTCTGGCCGGTGATCCAACCTTCTGCATTCGTGTTGGCCACCATGAGTTGGGGAAAGATTTGTGGACAGCCCCGAAGCAGGCTCACAGCGCTATAATTCCATTTTACAAAGGATCTCTGAAGATGGTGAACCCCAAACCGTAGATAATGTAGTAGTCTCGGTATTCTTTCCGTGCCCCTAGGTATCCAAATATAATCCTTTCTAATGTTAGTCTGCCCGGCCTCCTCGCCCCTCAGCTTCCCATCCTGAACGCGCTGAAACAGAAAGTTGCATGGCAAGGACTGACACAAAAATGTGGCTTGGTAAGAGCAAAAACAATAGCAATACTAAAAATAATATAGAAATGAAAAAACAACAATGACAATAATAATAGTAGTAAGAATGGTGACCAGAATTAACAATAGTAGTAATTGGCAGGTCTGCCCGTGAGCGCATCCTGAGGTGCCGGCAGATACGGGCTGCGCCAGCGCGGAGCTCAGCATAGCCAACAGAAGCAACCACTTGGTGTCCTCAGTACGTACATCTTTCTGAACGCGGACCATCAGTAGAGATTTCAAGCCCCAACCCCTATAATCTTATGTGCCCCAATAATAGGGCGCGGGGAGTAACGGGAACCATTTTGGCCGCAACGGGAACCAGTTTTCCGGACTCGTAACGGGAACCAGCCGGGACCGTAACAGAAACCGCAGCCAAAACGTAACCGAAATCAGCACGCCAAGCAGGCGAAACCGAAACCGGAACCGAAATCCCGGAGCCCAAATCTCGCAAGTGGGGGGACCTCTCCAAGACAACTTTTTGCAACTCACTGTCTGCCTGAGCTACCACTAGTGTTACTTCTACACTCCTTTGTGCAACTTGCTTGTACCTCATTCTAGTCATTTTTCCGCTCATACTGGCACGAGTACTACTCTATACTCCTTTTTAAATCGTGTACCTGAACCTCAAACCCCTAAACCCTAAACTCCAAGCCAGTCGGATCTCCATCCTCCAAGTGTCAGGGTTTAGGGTTAGGGTGCTGGATCAAAAAGGGATTCATTCATTATAGGGATAACAGAGGTTGCTATATGCTTTTTCTGGCCTGGCAGTACCATTACTACTACTCCTACGACTCCAAGGTATGATGGTAACTAGTACCTAAACCCTAAAACCCCTAAACACTAAACGCCAAGCCAAAGCTTTAAATCTTCACACTCCAAAGGTCAGGGATGGTCAGGGTTCGGGGTCTAAGGGTCAGGGTTTATGGTTTTAGGTTCTGGATCAAGGAACTTTTTCAGTATAGGGATAACAACCAACAGAGGTTGCTATATGCTTTTCAGGGGCTATACGTTCACTTACTAAGTCCGCTTGCCCTGGCAAGTGAGGCAGAATCGCAAGCCGCCAGCCCAAGCAGGGACTACAGTATGTTGGTCTCCGTTTTATAGAAGTACCTTCTCTAAACCCAAAAACTTGGATCCGAAAACCCTAGACCTTAAACCCTGAATTTCACATGTCTGCCCTTGCTTCAGAATGATAAATTGATACTTGGGGCTGTGGCTTGGTTTAAGGTTTGTAGGAAGCCGGAAATGCCCGACAAAATGCATCTAGAAGTGGGACCGAAAACCCCCTTTGGCAGAGTCCGAAGAAGAAAGTTTTCGCCATTCTCAACACATGTCTGGGTACGGCTGGTTCCCGTTACGCAAGGCCCGGCGGCCCTGTTACGGAAACCGGCCGGTTTCTGTCACTCCACAGTTACGGACAATCGGTTCCTGTTATTTCCAATCCTCCTCAATAATACCCCTAAGACCCTTTAAAGGCATACATCTCTCGATCGGACAGGCCACCATTTTGCGAGCTCCAGGCAATGCAAGACGCTACTGTACAACGGTCAAAGCCAGAAATTGCTGCGTGCCATGTTCGACCTGCTTGAGTTCTTCCCGCTGCATACCAAGAATCACCCCTGGATTCTGCACCATGCTGTCCTGACTCTAGTACAGGAAGGAGGCACCATTCGTTGGTCTTCTTGTTGAGGTCCGAGCACATTGGCCCACATGACCTGAGACTTCAGCCGGCCGGTGGGAAAATCCGTAATTACATCAGTGTTTCTGGGAGCAAGGCTGCACATCCACGGCGTGGAACAATCTGGACAGGAGAAAAACATACTAAGAATAGTAATCATATTAGTTATTAGTAATAATAATACCAATAATACTTGAAATAGTACTTGTAACAGTAATAGTAACAAAGCTACTACTACTAATGGTAATAGTAGTACCATGTGTTTGGAGCACCAGGCATTCTTTTGAACCTGCCTTCAGCTCGAGCTCCGGAAACATGGTCTCACCACCATCCCCAGGCCTCAGCTTCAGCTCTCTAAGACTTGCTGGCTGTTTGTAGGGATAATGGAAAAGAAAATGGAAACTACTATGATATTAGGGTTATATAGGGATAATATTGGGATAATGGAAAGAAAATGGGGAAACTACTGCATGATAACAAGGTATATGTTGCGAGTATTGTAGGGAATAAAGGGAATGCATTAAGTAGGGATTCTGTAGGGATTAGATTTCCATATTCATCCTACTGACAACCAGTAAGTCGAAGATTCATACGTTGGAGCCAGGCTACGGGATGCCATTCAGGTAGATAAAGACGGTCTTGGTACCTCAGCGACAAGTTCACCACCGTGCCAACACAGCTCGCGAAAACACCAAGGGGTTATATGGGGTTATATAGGGGTTATATAGGGGTAATGGAAAACAAGCTGGAAACTACTACATCATAATAGGGTGTATATTGGGGTCATATAGGAATAACAGAAAAGAAAATGGCAGCTACTGTCTAGGGTTAAGAATGACACCGGTTTTTGATGGCACACACAATGCCCCGCTTGAGGGTATCAAATCTGAACCCAAGGGTATCCATATGCAAGGATTCCTAACAGCTCAGGGTAGAACGAAACCGCCCATCATGATGCTCACTGAAGAACTGGCCAGGCAAGTATCTGGCAGAGGTGCTGATATCACCGATTCGGCGTCAAGTGCGTGACTTGATCAAATCCATGTTGCAGCCCATGCTGAAAGGCTCCTGACCATGTTCAAAGGCTCCAAGAACTTGATGTCGATGCCCTGGAACATGTGCTCGACCCTCCATGATATCGGCACATGGCATGCTTTTGGCTTTGAGGACGCGGCTGCAAGCGCAGCCAACCGGTGCTCTATCTGAAGACCATCATGTGTGAACTAGAAAGTCTGAACATCGCCATGGAAATCACGAGGGTACTGGAGCATACAAATCAGCCCCGAGCTCCTTGCTGCAGTCACAGTGGTGCTGCATCCCGGCTTGATGGTGCAGGAGTAAGATGTACGTATTTCTGAGACCTGATTCGCCTCGAGCGAGTCCAAAAGCAATGACCAAAGTCCAAAGCAACTTCGTAACAGCTCGTGCGCGGCCTTTCACTTTAAGATCTTTAAGCTCCCCGCCAAGTCCTGGCCTTCTTGATTGGTCTGGTACACTCCTTCACCCACCTCTTGCAGCGAAATACGTTTGAGCACATGGTGAGCTAGCAACAGATCCAACGCCAGCTATAGTCCCCCTTAGGTAGATAGAATATGGGGTATATGGGGATCCTATTTTAATATACCCAAAGCCATATTCCATCTACTCAAAGGGAGACTATCACTGTAGATAACCTTGCTGATCTGACCCCAAAATGCCTCCGAAGGTTCCCAGCCTTAGTTGCATCATGGGGGATATATTTGGGCTATATTGGGGTATCTAGGGGGTATAATATGGGGGATATATTGGGGTTACATAAGGGCTATATAGGGGTATAATATAGGGGTTATGTTGAGGTTATATAGGGATAATGGAAAAGAAAATGGAAACTGCTCTTTTATAATAAGGTACATATATTGGGTTATATTGGGATAATGGAAAAGGAGTTTAGGGTTCGGTCATCCATGGACGAGGTCCGTCAAGTGAATCTATCTCAAGCTATCTCAAAATAAAATGCTACGGTCGCCAAAAAATTCCATTCCCCCCAACAATGAGTGGCTAGGGTTTTGGAGGTCTGGGGCCTGGTCTCTGGACATTGATGTGCATATGGGCATATAACCTCCTTCTGCTTACTTTTCCAGAGATCATAAAAATGCTATGACTGTAATAATACTGCGACTATAACAATACAAATTCTTTCTGCTACTAATAATAGTTATTTGCGGACTCAACATGATTTCGTCAAAAGTCAAGTCGGGACCTGTTTCTTCTACCCCACACAAACAGCTCCCTGGACATACTCAATAGGTGGAACCCTAAGTGGTAATT